AAGTTGCTTAAAAAATCATATTGATCTATTTTTGAAAAAAAAATAGCAAACACTTAATTAATCATACAATAATAGGTGCTTTGTTTTGCGTGCCGGGGAGGAGGGGTTCCCGATCACAGCCTTAGATGCGAAGTATCTCAAATTAGTTGTACTTCCTTCTTCATATTATAATATGTTTTTATTTTTTAAGTAAAATTTCTTTAAATTGGACCATGTTTATAAAAGAAAAGGACAGTAGCATTTCGAAAGAAACATACTATCAAATTATATTCAATGTTATATTTAACAAAACTAATTTGGTGGTATAGATATTGGTAATTTTTTTATGTAAATTTAGTCAGACTTAAAAGTTTAAAATAGGAAAAAGATCAAAGCATATCTAGATTCGTTGTCCTAAGTAATGTCCCAACCATGTTAAGTTTGGTTTTTTTTTGGACGGAGGAAGTAGCTAGCTACTACTATTACTCGAGGCCTCTGGTCAGTCAATTCACCGGCTCGTCGTTCACAAGTTAGGGTGTATTTAGTTAGGGAAAAAAAAATTTTGGGTGTCACATCGGACGTTTGATCGGATGTCGGAAGGGGTTTTCGGACACGAATGAAAAAACTAATTTCAGAACTCGTCGGGAAACCGCGAGACGAATCTTTTGAGCCTAATTAAGCCATCATTAGCACATGTGGGTTACTGTAGCACTTATGGCTAATCACGGACTAATTAGGCTCAAAAGATTCGTCTCGTTATTTCCCCTATAACTGTGCAATTAGATTTTCTTTTTATTTATATTTAATACTCTATGCATGTGTCTAAAGATTCAATATAATGTTTTTGGGAAAAACTTTTTGGAACTAAACGGGCCCTTAGAAGTGCCCCGTACCATAGCTTAGCTAGCTCAAGCTGAGCGATCGAGACTGGCCGTAATTCGTGCAGTTTCAATCCCATCGCCATCGAATGACTCTCAAATCTGAAGTCCGTACGTGTGGATGCAGCTTTAATTGGTGCTGGTTGATGTGGCAACAAGCGGTCGGTCACATTGGAATCATATATGAGAGTGGGCTGTGGCTGGCGATGGGGGAACTGGTCGGACGCAGCGGAGGCTGCAGGGTCAATCGGTCAAGCATAGCTGCATATATACGGATATACTATGGGGTTATGCATGTGTTACGTGATAATAGTAGCACTAATCACTACAGTTGCTCTCCTCTCGTCTGAAAATGGTGGGTACCTTTGAATTTGTGGCATTGTGCTATTTTGGAACACGACAAAAAATCTACAGGGAAGCAACTCAATTCTGAAAAGATACTTATTCCGTCCCATAAAAGACCGACTTAGAACGAGATGTGACAATTAGAATAAGTGTGGAATAACCTTCTCCGTCGACAGTCCAAACAGGACCAAACTCGTGGTATCTCAAACGAAAAACATGCGCAAAAAATCCAAACAAAAGCCACATGCGCGCGTATCATATTTGGAGTCAAAACCTGAGTCTCTTCGGAGTTCGGAGACATCCGATGGAAAGAAAAAAAAACTGAAAATGGAACGCGTGATGAAGTGCAAGTATGTTTTGGACTCACTGTCGTGGGAACATTATAGGCAAGATGACGGGCCAATATATGGGCCATATCTCATGGGCCTTCACATTTTCAACAGACGGGCTTTGTTTTCAGACAGGAACCGTACGCCATACGCTTCCCTTTTTGGGCCCCTTGACTATTTCCAAAGTTTGGGCCGATTTCTCTGGGCCTTCGGCTAATATCACACATTCTTAGGATTTTTCCCCCTTTTTCTTTTCTGAGAAATGTTAGGTTTCTCTTGACTCTACGAGAGCATCATGATGACGATGTCTTCTTTATTTGACTCTGTACAAGAAGATGTCACCTCATCAACATGAAAGTATAGTTATCCGATCGTCTGAACTCGCGCCGAGTGGAAAACAGCCAGTTCGGCACTGTCACGGATTCACCAGCAACTCACGCTAGTGGTACTATTTTCGTTTTAAAATAAGTTTATTTTTTATCAATTTTACACATGCCAATAAAAATAAGAAAACTAAAATATCTCTACTTTATTAAATCTCAATACAATTATTTCTCACTTTATCTTTTTATAGTACAACCGTTTCCTAATTTTACAAGCTTCGATATAATGATTACTATAAAATTAAATTTATTTTGGGACAAATGAAAAGTAGTACAAATGATGGAATGGAGGAAGTACTAAGCAACAAACGTACGCTACTGTGACAACACACTGTACCACCTGCCCTTACGGGCTCAATCTCGACTACACCCATCTCCGAAACACACGCTGATCCAACCGTCAGGGATCCACCTTAATTAACAAAATAAAAAAAAAATCCATAAAATTAGGGACGAAAACAATCCAATTTTTACGAAAATGATTCTTGGTCAGTTTATAATGTATACATTTACTATTAATTTAACTATTTAGTGGTGATTATAATAATTAATAACTATTTAGTGGTGATTATAATACGACGCATGATAGAAATTAGAATAACCAAACTTTTATAATGTTAGAAAATGGAAATGGTATATCTTTTACGAAACGATCCTTGATCAATCAGAAGATTTTCACTACCCATTTTCATCCGTGTGTAAGATAAAGCAAAGCACACACAGCAACAAAAAAAATATTTAAAAAACCTAACTAACACGCTGGACAGGCTTGGAATCCAAAGAGGTGAGGTGAGGTGAGTTCGGAGATCCGGCAAATGGGCATTAAAAATGGAGATAAAAAATAATGGTGGCCTCTCTCTCGCGCAGCTGCGGCCTAGCCTGGCATCTGAGCTGGGGCACCTGCATCTGCACCAGCAGCTTGCAGCACAGATCGATCCGTCCACTGGCGATCGACACGCGAGAGAGAGAGAGAGCACATCACACGCGCGACCTGTTCATCCTGTAGCCGCCCAGCCTGGACGCCGCATTATTTTTTCTGCCTCGCGCGACGCCCTGTTCCGCCGCGCCCCAACATCCCATGCCGTTTGCCATGCCTCTCCCTCTCTTCCCTTCTCTCTCTCTTTGATCCTGTTCGGAGAGATTTTAATCGCTGCAGCTTCTTTAGGACCAGAAACTTCTTCAAACAGTCCAACTCTTGATTCAGATTCTAAAAACTCTAGATATAGAATTTTAAATATAAATTAGAAGACAGAAGTTAGAAACCTAGCTTTTCCAGATTCTCACGAACTGACTACCAACCAGCTGTTTCTCAGAATCATAAACTCTCCTAAACAGACCCTTGCTATCTTACATCACTCGATTCACAAATCACAACAAGAAGATGCCAAATTATTCCTCCTCCACATCTTCTACCGTGCTTTGGCCTACGAAGAGAAAATGATTAAGCTAGATGAGTTGGCTAATTAAGTACGGGTAGATAGATAGGAGTATTAGGTGAGCTCGTAAGCTGGCTGCGATTTGACAGGGGGCGATCGAATCGATCGACTCCGGCTAATTGGGCCGAATGGCCGATGCGGCGACGACGACGTACTGACGATACCGACATGTGTTTGAAGCAAATGCGTTGTGTTGGTGCTATCGACGAAGGGAGCAACACGTACGATACGAGGATGCGATACCCCTGGACCCTGGTGGTGTGGTGTGTAAAGCCCTTTTCACAGTCCCGACCGTGTCGGTCGCTGCGGCTGCCGTGAGCGACGGACGACGACCCGCTCTGGTCTGGTCTGGTCGAGCTGCCTACCTAACCGAGGCGCGTGCGTCGCGTGTGCGGTGCAACGTACACCGTTCGGGACTCCCCTTTTCTAACCTGTACTCAATTGTTTTTCCATACGCACGTTTTTTAATCTGCCAAACGGTATTTTTTTAATAAATATATATAGAAAAAATATTTTCAAAATTTATATTGATCAATTTTAAGTGATTTATAGTTAATATTCAATTAATCACATGTTAATGGATCATTTTGTTTTACGCGCGTGATAGGCAGGTCTCATCCGAAGACACCCCTGAAAAGGGAAATATTGACAGGTGTTAGCTAAACGGTTTTCTTTACCAATGCAACCCTCTCTCGTCATGGACAGCAAAAACCATACATGCCCTTCTACCTTTGACAATTCTTTAGATCACTTGAGAGATTATCGTGGGATTGATGTCGACTATCTTCTTGGTTGTAGTGACAAGTTAAATTTTTAATAGAACATATAGTATATTTTTAAGAAAAATATATATTTAAAGGTGTAGAGCAAATAATATAAGGTGATAATTAGAAAGGCAGTAAAAACAAGGCATGTAGAACTGAAAATGAGGGGGGGAGGGTGGGGAGGGTAAAAGAAACGTACCAACACACATTTATAGTTGATTCCTTTTATATAAGAATAAATAGGTGGTGAATTTCCATCCAAAGAATCCTCCATAGTTTTCATCGGGTTTTGGATTATACGTTAAGATTATGCCCATCATTCACACACTCATCAACCTAAGACATCCATCATATGATGATCATGGCATCCCGCATCCAGAGCCGAATGTCATCATTATCCCTTCACTAAAAAAAACCCCCTATTTTTTACAAGCCAACGTCCATACATGTTGCTCCGAGAACAAAAGAGAAGGAAAAAAAGACACCAATGCATTTTATCTTGTGAACATTGTTCATCTTGTTCCCTCAAAAAGGAAATCGATTAACCCAACGAAGAACTCCAAATCAAACCCCTTTTGCCTACGTGTGTACAGCTACGCAGCATCCGCATGCGACATGACAGAAGAGATCACACAACAACACAAGCAAAGACAAAATAATTAAAAAAAAGTGCCAGAACACAACACAGCAGAGAGAGAGATCAAAAGGAAAGCAAAAAAAAAAAAAAAACTGGAGCTGTCTGTCTGTCACCAGCGTCGACGCAGTTAATCCCCCACCATTAGCTCCTTAATCACCCACACTAATTACCTGTTTAATTAATTAACTCTCCAGCCGGCGCAGTCCACGGGGCTCTATATATACAGCCGGCGCGCACAGCGACAAGGGAGAGGAGGAACAAACAACTCATCGTCTCGACTCGATTCTCACCGAGGCAGCGAAAAAAAAAGAGGGGAGAGAAAAAAAAAACACCAGCGAGGCAACGAGGGGGTGGGTGGTGGTGGCGGCGGCGGCGATGGAGAGCGAGATGGCGGACGCGGCGCCGGCACCGGCGGTGGCGGCGGCGGCGACGGCGGAGCCGCTGGCGGCGGTGGCGGAGGAAGGGGAGGAAGGCGGGGAGGCGGCGGTGGGGTCCACCCTCACCATGGAGCGCGTCGCCGCGGCGAAGAAGTTCATCGAGAACCACTACCGCTCGCAGATGAAGAACATCCAGGAGCGCAAGGAGAGGTAATCCACCCCCCCGATCCCGATCCCCTCCCCCCACCCGCGCGGTGGCGATTTCGGGCTCGAATTTTAGCTGCTGCTGCTGCTGCTGCCGCGAGCGTGGGTTTGGGGTAGATCTCGAGTGGTGGGAGCTCGATCGACGGGTTTGGGCTGCGCTGGGCGGGTTTAGAGCTTGGGGCGCTGGAGCTCGGGGACTCGAGCTGCTAGATTTGGGGGGGAAAAGTTTTGGGCGTGTGCTTGAGGAATGCGGGGGGAGTAGGAGTCGTGTAGCAGTAGCTCCGCTAGCCACGATTTGAGGTGTTTCTACTGTGGCGTAACCGTAGATTCTCGAATTGTTGCTCGGTAAGCAATTTGGGGTTGGAGTAGCACGATTTAGCTGTGAGGGTACTTGATTCTGCTAGTTGTTTGTAATGCTTAGCGTCTGCTCAGTTTGCGCCAAGCAAAAATGGTTGTAACTGCTTCTATGGAGTAATAGGCGTGAAAAAAATTGAACTGAGCTTAGTGTTACTATCTAACAGCTTGCTTAGTTGGTTGACTTGATTTTGTATGCTGCTGTCATGAAGGTTTTCAGTGGAGAAATGTGCTGTAAATGTTGTGTGGATGCGACGGTTATGTCTGTCTTTAAGTGCCGTTGACAATACACTTGTCGCATATCATTTGTTTGTATTAAGCGGTTGGTCAGCAAGTAGGTGCGCATAAATAGAGCATATTATGTGATAGTTTGAATTGTGAGTGAACGCGTGATTGATGACGTACTAATTTTGATTCATAAGTGTACACGTGGTTGATACCGCACTTCACGACGTATGCCTGTGTTTCATTAATCACTTCTATTAATTTACTCTATTTGCAGTCAGAGTCCATGTAACGTAATAGCTTGCCCAATCTTGGTGACTTGGTGCGCTATTTTACCAAGGGCAGAAGACCTGTGTGTTCCTTTTTATCGAAAGGAAACATCATAGTGAAAGACATTTGTACAATGCTAGGTGGCAGATACGATTTAGTAGGATTCATTTCATCATTTTATAATGGATTTTAGTATACGAGGTGTGTATGTAACAGGGGTGGCAATTTTCATTTCTAACAACATTGTTATAATCTTTTATCGAAATCAAACAGTTGATTTAACTTACCAGCTATGGAGGTTTGTTCTGATATTGATCTTATATCAACTAAAGCTGGCGATTCCTCAAGGCTTCAATCTGGCCTGCACCCCTAGAGTTTGGACGTATTAGTCTTATAATAGAGTAACATACCTTAGTTTCAGTCGTCAACCATCTTCTATTACTGTGTAACTTGAGTGATTTTTTTTATCCTTCATCATACTTAGATACTATGATTTGATTCTAAGTGGATTTTCATTCCCCTGCCCAGACAGAAATCTTTGCCCTTCTTGTGTCACATAGTAAGACCTTATGCATTGCAGGCGCTTTAGATTGGAGCGACAACTGGAATCTTCCCAAGTTCCCAGGGAGCAGCAAATCAATCTACTAAAAGATCTGGAGAGAAAGGAAACAGAGTACATGCGGCTTAAAAGGCACAAAATCTGCGTTGATGACTTTGAGCTGCTCACCATTATTGGCAGAGGAGCTTTTGGAGAGGTTTGCACATTGATCTACTACATATTTGCTTAATGCTTATCTGTTGTAATGTTTATTTTATTGCTCCTGTTGCTTTTAACCCCTTACTGACTTGCGGTAACTATACGACAGGTTCGACTCTGCCGGGAGAAGACATCTAGCAACATTTATGCAATGAAAAAGCTAAAGAAGTCTGATATGGTTGTCAGGGGTCAAGTAAGATAACTTTGTCTGGATTTATTCCAGGTTTTATGTTTTAATAGGTATAATTGTGAGTTAGTAGCATGTGCATAGTTTTTAACCATCTCCAACCACGTTTGTTGATTTGACCACAAAGTAATAAATATGACATAATTGTGAAATCGAAACAGCAAGGTTATATTTAAAACTAAGATAACACAAAAGATTGGCAGTACATGTTTATATTCATAACATGTAGGACCTTTTGCATTTAGTAACATTCTACCATTGCTGTTATGCATTAGTCATGGGCATTTTTTTAGTGCTTTGAATTTGAAGTTGCTAGAAAGCAAAAGCTGGTGTATAATCTTCTTGTTTTGTTCAGTCCATTGTTTGGGTGAAGTCCACAAGGGTTCCACTGGTATTTTGTTTTCATGTCTAACTGCTTTGTCATAGTTACTCTACGTATGTGATGATATCTCTATATGACTGTATTTTATTAACAGAATCACATAGTTAATTGCTTTTTCATGTTTGTAAAAAATATCTTCTGTTGTAAACTGACTTGTAGGGCTTCTCAAGACCTAATTTAGCAAAAAGACTGCTACCTTTTATGATATGTTTAACAACCTTTCATTTATATCTGTCAGGTGGAACATGTTAGAGCGGAAAGAAACTTGCTGGCTGAAGTTGCTAGCCACTGCATTGTGAAGCTATACTATTCTTTTCAAGATTCGGAGTACCTTTATCTTATCATGGAGTATCTCCCTGGTGGTGATATCATGACCCTTCTCATGAGAGAGGATACCTTAACTGAGCATGTGGCTCGATTCTACATTGCTGAGACCATCCTTGCTATTGAGTCCATTCATAAACACAACTACATCCACAGGTTACTTTTTTTTGTGTGTTAATCCCCTTTAGATATTTCTTGTGTTAATACTAGCCTACCTTTATATATTGAGGTGCCTCTAGATAAGGGAAAAGGAAACATACTAGTAACCTGATACTACTAGGACTCTTACTACAAAACTATGAAACTCAAATAGAGAGCTTATTAGGATTCTCCAACTGCTGTAGCACTTGCCAATTCCTGACTTATCTCTATTGTGACGCCGCTGATATATTATACCATAATGTCCAGCTATAACATTTTTGTTTAAAGATAATTGTATATTTTCTGTTTCTACCCTTTTTCTGATCTACATGCTTTGGCTTGTTATCTTTTTGCAGAGATATTAAGCCTGACAACCTGCTTCTCGACAAGAATGGTCACATGAAGCTGTCAGATTTTGGGCTGTGCAAGCCAATTGATTGTTCAAAGCTCTCAACATTGAATGAAGATGAACCGATGGGTGATGACAATTTGAGGGAATCAATGGATATCGATAGCTCTTTCTCTGAAACAACAAATGGTAGAAGGTGGAGAAGTCAACATGAACAACTTCAGCACTGGCAGATGAACAGAAGAAAACTGGTATGTCTGCTTTACAGTGTATACAACAAGCATCCCATTGACCCTGTATTGTCAGTAGTTTTGTTTTTCTTTCATGATATCATGTGGAATCCCATGCTTGGAAGGGATACACACTTAAAATATGAATACAACTTCTGTTATTCTTGACAGCCCTTCTCATTCTTAAAATGCAATTTGATACACAGGCATTCTCAACTGTTGGGACACCAGACTATATTGCTCCAGAAGTTCTGCTAAAGAAGGGATATGGAATGGAATGTGACTGGTATGATGTACACAAATTTATGTTCAGCCACATTTATTGATTCTTGATAACTAGATTTTATCAATGTACTTCTTTTGCCCTACAGGTGGTCTTTGGGTGCAATCATGTATGAGATGCTTGTTGGTTATCCACCATTTTATTCTGATGATCCAATAACCACATGCCGAAAGGTCTGTTGTTCCCAATTAATTTTGCTAACACAGGAAGTAACAACACTACTTATTGATTTGTGCTCAGTTATTTCATTTGTAACGCATGAGTATTTCATTAATTGTTGATTTGGCTCAGCTTAAATTAGGCTGACCAATTGAAAACGTATAAGGGACTACCACGAAGCAACTGCTTTAATTATTATCTTAGCTTTTGAACTCAAGCTGTAAGAATCTGAAGACAACAGTTTGCAGCTTATACGCCTTACAAGTTTGGTCCACCCAATAATTTAGGGAGATAGTCTTATAAGCTTCTCCCTCTGATCACAAATACACGTTATTTCCAGACATAGGCATGTCTTTAAAGTATATCTTTGAGCACTATTTTCAATTTCAACATGTAATATCAAACAAATCTATAATATTATGAATGTATTTTTCAAGACAGAGGATTGGATGTATAGTGCATAGCCGCATAACAGTAAAATAGTGAGATGAAAAAGGCTGCTAAAATGATACTCCCTCTATCCCAGAATATAAGGTTTTTTGTTGGATGTGACATCCTAGTACTATGATCCAGATTCATAGTACTAGGATGTCACATCCAACCAAAAAACCTTATATTTCTGGACGGAGGGATTATATATAGCAAGGTATCCCGATTTCAAGATGTGAATGATTCATCAAAAATAAGAACAAGTGTCATTCTTTTTTGTAACCAGTAGATTTTCTATGATGTTTCTGTTGTGGTAGTGTATATTTTTTTTATTCCATCTATGAGCTTTATTTACCTTTTTTTTTTCCAATTATTCTAGATTGTCCACTGGAGAAACCATTTGAAATTTCCAGAGGATTCAAAGGTGTCTCCTGAAGCAAGGGATCTCATTTGCCGGTTATTATGTGATGTTGACCACAGGATTGGCAGTGCAGGAGCAGACCAAATAAAGGTACTTGGCACATAAGAGAAATAAATAGTATCATTTGCAGTTCTTGTCTTGTTTGCTTGTCCTGTATTTACTAGTCATTTGTTTATCACTAGGCACATCCTTGGTTCCGTGGAGTTGCTTGGGAAAAACTATATGAGATGGAAGCTGCATTTAAGCCTCAAGTAAATGATGAACTGGACACACAGAACTTCATGAAGTTTGAGGAAGTAAGTGATTCCTTTTGCTCTTAGTGTAATGGTTATCTTATGCCTCTGCAATTCTGCAAGGTTCAAAGTTGCCAAGCTCCAGCCAATACTTGGGTATTGCCTTGATTTAGAATTACGGGGATTGCAATATATTGAGATAATTCTTTTAAAAAAAAGATATCGAGATAAGTCTTGATCCAAACTATTATAAACTAGTAAACGTGCACGTGCAACGCACGTAAAAGTCAATATGAATTACCCCAGACATGTTATCTCTGGCAAATACTAAAAATTAAACTTGCCAAATTGTTCCAAATAAATCAAATTAAAATTCTTGGATTCATCATCTGACACAAATTGTGTTCGTATTAGTGCAATTAGTATGTACATCAAATGCTCAATACTTCCGTTTGAGATTATACAATGGAATACAAATTCACTCAACATCCTTCAGGAACATGCACAATAGATACATGACAATTTCCAGTAAATAAGGACTTTGCTGGTAAGAACATGATTGAAATAAAAAGCAACCGAAGTGAAGATATAGAGTGCTCACATGTAGGGGCGGATGCAGGAGGGTTCCCGGGAATACCCAAAAATTTGTGAAACAAAAATAATATATATAGGTATATCACATATGTATATATTCAATTGTATCTAACACTTCAATCTCGATCCTTTTTTCCCTCAACAGATCCATTTTTCTAGACTCCTGGCTCGCACCACTTCTAACCAAGTAGCCAACTATCTCAAGTCCCATAACTCTATCCCAGTAAACATTGGGGACACAGCACTTGCAATTGTTAAGTGAATACTCGGTTTTGAAATCCAGCGTCTGCCACTGCTCACAGGCACCAGATGAAATCGAGATAAGAGCGGAAAGACGTCGAGTAACTTGTTATGCAGTTAGACCAAACAGCAAACAAATTGAAATTTGCCGTCAAATAACATAGAAAAAAATGGCAATTGGCAGTTAATTTCCTGATAAAAAAGTTTTGTGAAATCAATTTAAAATTTGAAGCTCTTTATATTGTTGTACTGTTTCAGACAACCTACTATATATGACCAATATTTGATCTAAAATTAGCATAGAACTGGTTTTAAATCCAGCAACTATGAAGCATCTGCTAAATCATACCATCCTGAAGACCTAGATCTGGCCAACTTATCAAACAGTATATAGCACGAATTATAATGCGATTCAAAATTGACACCAGAATTTTGCAAGTACAAAAAAATCTTCCACCTAGCACACATACAGTCAACATGCTGAATTTAATTATGATCCAAAAATTACCTCGTACTGCAATACAAACCTCAAAATTACCTCTCTTATGCACATCATCCAGATCCATTATATCCAGATCGAATCATTGGGTGTGGCCGAGGTCAGGGATGCGGAGAGGAGCGAATCCACAACGATGGGAGGGCCAGGACGTGCATTCGTGCGCCAGAGCAGGGGAGGTCTGGGGAGGGCAGCGAGGTTGAACGCTGAGGGCGGGCTGGGGTGGGTGGCGAGGACGCGCACCACAGCGGGGGAGGTCCGGGGAGGGCAGTGAGGTCGAGTTCCGTGCGGTGATGGGGGACAACGATGGTGGCAGACGATGCGTGAGGCAGTGGAGAGATGTACGAGCGCGATCGAGGCAGGGGACGAATGTGCGGGCGTGGTGTGCGAGGCGGAAGTGGATGCGCGCGGATGTGGTGTGAATCACACTTTTTATTTGGGCCATTGAATCGAATGATCGGACGGTCAGGAATCCACGTATCTGCCTAAGCTGCTACATGATAGTATAGATGGATCAACAGAGGTCAGCCTTCACTAGATTGGTAATTAGAGTTGACATGACACCAAGCCACAATTTGACCTTGTGATTACTATTTGAGTCGTTGTAGGGATTTGTGAGAACAGCTCATTCTGTCCAATTTTCGTTTGAGGGTCAATGACCCCAAAAATGTTTCATTTTGGCCAACTCACTACTTGAATTATACTTTTTGGGTCAATATGGTCCTTGGTCCCAATGTTAGCAAGATAAGCGGAACTTTAGCCTTAGTGGGAATTTCAATGGTGAAAAGTCTATTCTACCATCACACTATTTAAGAATAAAAAAACCATGGTCTGGCTCCTTTTACGGTTTTACCATCATTGTTTTTTCTTTTCAATCGAAGATATAGGGGCAAAACACTCTTGCCTTGGGTCTTTCAACTAGGGCTGGCCTTGCTGAGTTATCTTGCCTGCATGGAGGGTTAGGTACTTAGGTGGGCTCAGCGATCTTATTGACCCAAATTGATCTCAGGACGAAACTTGAAAGACCAAATTGACTTCTTTTTTTGGTTTTAGAGGAAGTTTCCATTGTGTCAGTTACTTCCTCCATCCAAGATCGTTGTGCGTATAATTTATTTACAGCGATACCAAGGAGCGCATCGAACAAGCCGCACAAGGATTCAGTTTCCCTTGCATGTGCCACGCGCGCATGGCTGTTCGCCTGTTGCACCCTCCCCGTGCCCAGGGAAACTCTCGCACCAGCTCCACATGCGCCCACATCACTGCATGATTGCGTCTCGCCGCTACCAAAACAGATGCATGCAGCAATGTTCATATACTCCTGTGCATATAGAGACTCAACGTCTCCTTGAGTACCGTATAATATGCACAAGGATTGTGCAGAGCCTCAAACAATTTATACGCACAACGATTGTGGAGTACAAGCTATGGGTTTACTCTTGGATTTTTGTTAATTCAAGTCAGTGGACTTTTTTTTCTCATTTTCTTGTTCAAGGGATCTATGTTTGCATGTGAGCACTTGGGCAGAATATGTTATTGTTTCTAGTCTGCTTGTTAAATTGGAATGTCTAATTTTCATCCTTCCATGTGTTGCACTACATTTTTTTCTCTCCTACCTATGTGTTTTGCCTATATTTTTCATTCCTCTGTCTTAACTAACTGAACTGTCTGCTGCAGATGGATAATGCTCCAACCAGAACAGGTTCCGGGCCCTCAAGAAAGGTATGAACTTTGAAATTCGCTATGTAGTTTAAATGCAGAGTGACCATTGTGTTTTTACTGCTTGAAAATTGCTTTTCCATCATAACTTCATATGTAGGGCTCTAGGCTGCTGAGTTATTTCCCTGTGTTTATATTCCACTGAATTATGATTTTCCAGAACCCATCATAATTTGATAAGAAACGCAAAGGGTTGTCCATATTTAGGCCTGCTTAACCACAAAATCGACCTGCTATGCATATATTTTTGTGCCTAACGCCTTGACCCACTGTCACCTACCCGGAAGACTAATTAACTGACCAATGGTCATAATAGTGTTTGCAAAGAGTAGTTTTAAGTCACCTAACTTGGTGTAGAATTTGTGTTCAAGTACAAATTTATGTTTCTCTTTGTTCTCTCCAAGTTCATACCTGATTTTTGTGAAACCATTTTACAGATGATGCTGAATTCCAAAGACCTCAGCTTTGTGGGATATACGTACAAAAACTTTGATGCTGTGAAAGGATTGAAACATTCAGGTTTGTCTCTTCAGATGACATCATTAAATGCATAAAGTCTAGCTGGAGTTCATAGTGTTAAACACCATTTTTGTTACAAACTTACAATTATCATGTTGCTAGGAAGCTTGCTGTCATTAATCTACAATATAAACTTGGTGCTTGCCTGTCTTGGACAATCACTATATCCATTTGTTAATTTTCACAATACAAATCCATGCAGATCAACAAAGGAACCAATCTCTAATAAGGCCCTCTATTGGCTCCATTTTTGGTGACACGTTTGTGCCCATCTTATTTAGTCAATTATTGCATATCATTTCTGGCATCTACTTTATCTAAATTGGGCATTTCTAATCTCAGGTCCAGCAGATATGGATCCATCTAGAGAACCAAATGGAAGGGACAAGCACATGCACACAGTTTCTTCTGGTGATCCGATGATTCAATGACCTGCGTCCCGTTGTTCCTTGGAAAATCCTGAACTAAAATTAGCATGCGACGCCTGAACGATGTGGCTTCATCCGGAGAACCTGCTTGTTTTAGGCCAGGTTATCTGCCCTGTTAATCGTTGGCGAGCATTCTGTAGAAATCCAACAAAGCTTCTAGTTGTAAAAATAGTATGCTGAGTACTTAACAAAACAGCCCGTGTACCCAGGGGGGCTTGTGGTCTTTGTTGTAGCGTGTTGGGACCAAGCGGAAATGGGCAGGTTGGGGGGAGTATTTGCACCTTTGGGGGCTGGCTGCCCAGGTTGGCAGAGCTAATTGCCGCCTTCTCTTGTGGCAGTTCCTGGTCCGCTGACATTTTCATCTTGTGGAAACAAACAAATAAGGCAAGCTATGCTGTTGTTGCTGTTGCCGGTGGTGTTTTGATGTGCGTGTGTATCAGCAGAAATTTAATTTTCCGTAACGACCCTTTTGCCCCCTAGTCTATGGTCTCCCGTTGCAGAAATGCCTAATTTTGTCTGTTAGTGTAATGTTCATCAGTTATATCTTTGGTCATGTACTATTATTGAACCCTCTGACTTCATAATTTTGTGGAGATACTACCTTCTTTTCCGATGTAGTTTTGCAGTGTGGAGAACTAGAGATGGTGTTGTCTTCGTGATGCTGCGATTGGATTGTGTTTTTCTTTTTCTTTGTTCAGAATTCAGATAGGCAGATAGCCCTCGTGCTGGCTCTGTGATGAGTATTACTACGTCTTTTGATCCCTCTGTTGACTGTTGTCAGACAAGGATTGATGCATCTGGTATTCTGGTAAGAGTGTTTAGTGTGTACTATCACGAATACGATCTAAGATTGTTTCATGAAGAAAGAACATCGAAGAACAAACAAGGGAGCCACGAACTCCACGGCTGGGAGAGATGTTAGGAAGAATGCAAAATGCGAAGATGCTCGGATCGCACGTTGTGGATGGTAGATTTTGGTTGTGGCCGGAGAAGCTTTTCCCCACAGGGCAGGCACCGTCATCGCCAATGTCCGAACAAATTAAAGGTCCTTCACAAGCTATAAGAACCACCAACGCAGTGAGATAAAAAAACTGAGACGATGAACAGCCATCCATGTCCACGTTAGTGAGAACGTGCGATGGTTGCCCAACGACTCGCGGCACGTACACGCTCGTTTGGACTTGGCGACTGAAGCTATAGCTAGAGGTAAGCTAGCGGGGTCATGTGGTGACTCCGCGACTAGTAGCTGGATGCCTCGACTCGACAATTGTGTGCTTCTCAGTACTAGATTCTGCCTTTATTCAGAAGGCGACACTGAAGAAGAAGCTAGTGTATAGCTACTTGTACTACATAAAAAATTCAGAGCTCCGGCGATGGCTGGCAGACAACAAGTAAGTCCTCATCAACGGTGCCAATTTGCAAGCTTGAGAACGATCCCCGCTGCTTCTAGATTCGATTGGCGAATGGCGATTGATGATGTGCTTGTGCCCTTGCGGATGGATCACATCTGCAATAGTCAGAGTCACCGAAAATGACCAAGCCAAACTGAAAAAGCAAATTAAGCCTCAGTTTGAATACCATCGGAGATAGAGCAAATGAAGCAACTGAATTTGATTGGAAATTAACTAGCAAACGAAATCGTAACAGATTGATGTGATTCCGCTGATCCGGCCGGACCTATCTTTGCCAACTTGCTCATCTGAGATGCAGCTCCATTCAAAACGACAAACGTGACGGCCCTGATCCTGACCCTGAAGGCCAAAATTAAAGCCTCCGTTCAAAAGACTGACCAATAGATCCAATCCGATCCATGTGGGTGACGGCGATTCGACTTGAATTCTTCTCTCTTGTTTGTTGTACACTTGTACTCCGCCTTGAGTCGTAGTAGTAAGGAGCTAATATAACTTGTTCGACCTACTTGCAGATAACTGGACTGCAGTTGAACCTACGCGCATCATGCGTGGAGCTGTCTTAATTTTGTCTTCTCCCCAATCGTCATACTCCCTAGTCCTAGATCACAGCCTCACTGGCAAATGCAGCTGCTAGATATCGCCTTCCTCAATTAATTCCAGGACGAATTAATTAATCAAAGCTCGATAAGTTCTCTCCGGTCAAGCTAGCTGCAAGGATATATCCCTAGCTCGCTAGCTGGCACTGATTTTTTTTTAAAAAAACTTTGCCACGAATTCATTGCTTAATATTATAAGTTGCTTTTTTTTCCAGTTAAACATTTTTACGTTTGAAAAAAAAGTAACATTTATAAAACCAAATTAGTTTTATTAAATATATTTCGATAATATGTTTGTTTATACTTGAAGTGTTACTAAACTTTTTTTTTTATAAATGTGAACAAATTTAGAATAGTTTGATTAAAAATAAATCATAACGACTTGCTCCCTCCGTTTCTAAATGTTTGACACTGTTGACTTTTTACCACATGTTTGACCATTTGTCTTATTCAAAATTTTTTGTGAAATATGTAAAACTATATGTATACATGAAAGTATATTTAACAATGAATCAAATGGTAAGAAAGGAATTAATAATTACTTATTTTTTTAATAAGACGAGTGATCAAACATGTTTAAAAAGGTCAACGACATCAAATATTTAGAAATGTAGGGAGTATATAATATGAAATGAAAGAAGAACTGCTGATGCATGCATGAGTCCACGTTATCAATTAAACGGCTCGGCACGTACTTATTTTGTACCAAAATAAGTTCATTTTTTATTCATGCCACACATAATAACAATACGAACTCAAAAAGACTATAGAATACCTATATTTTATCAAATCCTAGTACAACTATTCATCACTAATTTATCTACTCCCAATACAATTATTATCTACTCCCTCCATCCCAAAATATAAATATTTTGGAGTGGATGAGATATATCCTAATATTATGAATCGGGAAAACTAGGATGTGTCAAATTCACTTTAAATCTCTTATATTTTAGAACGGAAGGAGTACATTCATAAATTCCTATGCAATGATTACTCTAGACTTATTTTAAAGAGCAATTCTACAGTCCTTAAAGAGGTACCATGAGGTACCAAAAATTTAGTGTAAAATTTGGTACCTCATAGTATCTCATAGTATCTAGGTATAAAGAGATACCAAATTTATAATAAAAAAAAGTGGTATCTCATGGTACCTCTGAAGGACCATAAAATTGCTCTATTTTAAAACAAATGAGAGGAGTAAAAAAGTCTGCGAGGCAGTTGCCAATCACTGGGTTTTACCTCTCATCGGTTTCACTCGCCAATTCCGACGAGTGTGTGTGACTGTCTTTAATTTGCCAAGTCGTTCAACGAGCACCGATCGTCTAACGTGGACTACTCATGCATGCGCGCGTAAGAATTCAGTGGATATATATACATCCTTTGCAGCTAGCTTGACCGGAGAGAACTGACCGAGCTTTGATTAATTCGTCCTGTAATTAATTGAGGAAGGCGATATCTACCAGCTGCATTTGCCTGTGATCTACTCCTTTTTTCCAGAATATAGGCTGTTTCGATACCATACTAAGTTTATTAGCTTTCATCATACTTTTGTGTCATATTTATCTAAGTTATAGCTAACAAAAAGTAAACCACATCTTAGCTAGCAAAATAGAATCATACCGCACCTTTTTGGGTTGATGACATGTAGTACCATAAGAAATGAGAAGGAATCTTGAAACAAGTGCGGCTGTAAACCAAACAAGTGGCTAACTTGTTCAAAATTTTCTAACATGAGATGTGATAATATTTGGTAAACTTTGAGAGTGAACCAAACAGCCTCGTAGTAATCTAGGATCGGATGCGACTTATTCTAGAACTATAAATTTGGATAAATCCCTATTTAAATACGTAGCGCTAGAATGTCCTATCCGATACTAGATTACTATATTCACGGACGGATGAAGTATAAGGTTTGGAGAGGAGACGTGGGAAAGTATTTTTTATACCTTGATAAAATCGTATATCTATATGTATACATGTTACGCAAACACGGATCATGGATTCATGGTGCGTGCATGGACCGATACTGTTCAACGTTTTTTTTCATCTCACTGCTGGTGTGGTTCTTCTAGCAAGTGAAGACCTTTGGTTTGTTCGGACATTCAGAAACTATCTTAACTGATGATTGTGCTTGACTGGCCGCCATTGAGATGAGCACACCGCCCAGCCGGGACAAGACAAAAGACGTACGTACGGAACGTCCTGTTACACAGATCGAGCCCAAGCGCTCGCCGGCCGGTCGCCGGTCGCCGGTCACCGGTCACCGGTCGTCGACTCGTCGAGGACGTAGCCGACAAAAACTGATACTTCGGAGAGAGAGAGAGAGCGCTAATATTAAAATAAGTCTGTTTTGTTGATTGTGGGTTAACATCTCTGGCCCGATGGACACGTGTGAAGGTTTGATGGACCGTGGGTACCTGCGGGGCCCGTATACCTGATGACCGTGGGCCGGTGGGGGCCCGGATACGTTGAAAAGGGGCGGTGAAGGGCTGAGGGACACTAATGTGTGAAGGAGGAGATTGTTGAATAGTACCACATTGGTTGTGAAAGGGCAAAGGACCTAAGATATAAGTGGGGGAGTCCCTCACCTCAATGGCTAGCTTTTGGGGTGGGAAAGGCCCTTTACGGTCCTACATGTTTGGAACCCAGGGTTCCCAACTCCCTACCCTCGTTTTCCGCGCGCACATTTTTCAAACCGCTAAACGGTGTGTTTTTTGCAAAAAGTTCTATACGAAAGTTGCTTAAAAAATCATATTGATCCATTTTAAAAAAAGAATTAGCTAATACTCCATCTACTTTTGATAGTCATATTTTCAAATCTTATCAAAAGTAGATGGAGGGAATACTTATTAATTAATCATGTACTAATGGATCGCTCTGTTTTTCACGCGGACTATTTGGGTTGGGAAAGGGATGGAGCGAACACAGGTCGTGGAGCTAGCTGATGCATACCGCAGAAAGTTCAGCTTCAGCTTCAACACCTCACATTTTTTTTCTCTTCGATTTCAAATTTACAGGCTGAAGGTTTCTGTCGTCTGTGTTAATTGAGCACGTGTTGTTTAAGTGGATCACAAGAGACTGGCCGTGGCGCCTGCCCTACTACCACGGATCAGGCTTCTCTTTGTTGCTTTTGTCAGTAACACGTGGGTCCGATGAACCATGGTGTCTTTGAAGGTAGAGGATCTTAGTCCTACTACTCTAATTTAGAGTGGGATTAATGCTGTACACGCTATCGGTGCAGGAGTAGTGCATTCAGTTTTTTATTTTACACAGTACATATGCGGAGGCCATATACGTGTGCAGATGCACGCTCTGCACTAAACATATATGAAATCATCACAAGGGTCTTGTTGTCGAAAGGTACATCATCTACTATTGCAGAGTAATTAACCGTAAATACAACCACTCGTGTTAGAGTTAGAATTTTAACCTAGATGAATAGATTTCATTATCAGAAGCCTAACAAGTTGAACCTAAGCAGGACTTCCCTCAGGCTCCATATTTTGGACGGAAATTCCAAAAATATTGGGGCAATCAGCCAAGCCCCCTACATGCCAATCTTCCAACAAAAGATGATTTTTATATTTGGGAAATAACTTGTTTGAATTAAAAAAAATATGTACACATTTAACGATTTTTTTGTGTGATATGTCCGAAATAACTAAAATTTCAGTTTGCCAACTGGTTTTTGCAGTATTGAACACACGTCATATATATAGTCATAAAACGTCAGGGTAAAATATTTGCATTGCACATGGGATCCTGCAAATAACAGTGTACATATGCCCGGTCGGATAAAGAAGCTACCGGCGCTTATTTTTCACAAATAAGCTAATATCTATATATGTCCATCCAAATAACGAGGAATTCTTGGCAATTTCTAATCAAACCCATACCAATTCTCATCTCAGGTCTCCTTTGATATAGAAGAGTTCTAAAGGAATTTCAATAAAATGACCGTAAAATTCTTGCGTTTTCAAAAGAGCCATCGATGTCCCATGCAGTTTGGTCTGGTTCGTACTACAATGAGATAAAAGGGCCTCATTTTTTCACTTATACTTATACTTATCGGCCAAAATTTAAATTTTCAACCTTAAATTTGGAGCTAATTTTAAGATTTTTTTTTCATCGAAGTTTATTTTCCCGCCTTTGCTTTTAAATCGCTAAGAACACATATATAAAATTTTTATTCACAAATCATTTTTCATTTGTAAATATGCCGTTTCGCTTATTCGCGCGCTTATTCCGCGAATAAGCGAAACGATGGATCCGAAAATCTTGGCCCATCAACATACGTGTATCAACTACAAACGCAGCGAACATGAGTGATTACAGTATCATGATGTAAATGAGTTATCACATCATATTGGTGCTTATTATGTGGAGAAGAGATGAGAGAGAAGGGATAAGAAAAGCAAGCTGCATATTTATAGTCAGTTGTGGCACGGGATTAAGTTAACCATATGAGAGATGAGTGGATTAAGTATTAATGTTGCATTATATATCTACAATTAACTAGTGTATGAGTGTGTTATTAGGCTGATTACAAATAATACTTTAATTTTTGGCACTTCCATTTCCTGCCGGTATCTCGTTCTTGGCACTGTTGCTAGCTAGACATGGTCGCCGGCGGCCTCGATCGATTACGATTGTACGATCAGTTGCTGGGCTCATCCACCGCCGACCAGCTTTCACGCCGGCGTCAGGTAGAGCGCGGCGGCGGCGCCGGCGAGGAGGAAGAAGAGACGAGCACCGGCCACATGCGGAGCGTGAAGGAGACGAGCACGAACGCCAGGGCGAGCACCATCGCCCACTTCTGCACCCTCGCCACCGCGGCGTCGCCGGGCCTGGACACGATGGTGTACATGGACAGGCCGAGGCTGGCGAACAGGCCCAGGCAGACGAACGCCAGCGTCGCGCCGTAGAGCGCGCCGCCGGCCCCGCCGCTCGCCGGCAGGTTGACGGACATGGTGAGCGACGCCGCCGCGCAGAAGAGGCACACGGGCTGGACGCTCTTGGACAGGCGCCTGATCAGCTCGTCGTCGCCGCGGACATCATCGCGGAGTACAGCTTGATCTGGTGTCGTCGTCATCGCTGCAGGCGCCTCGATGTCGAACGCTCCAACACCACCTGTCGACGCCGTCGTCTCGATCGCCTGCGGCGACAACGGAGTCTCCTCCTCGCCGTCGGCGGCGGTCAGAAGTCCGGTCCGGCTGTTGAAGGAGCCGGTGAAGCTGACGACGCGGCTGAAGCTGAACACGGCGGCGGAAGCGATGGACGGCGTGATCCGGTCGAACGCCGGCCGTAACATGCCAGATATCATGTCCATTGTTACCACTATAACTAGTAGTAACAATGGCAGACTGATGTGTGATTAAATCTAAATAGCCATAGATAAATTGGACTGATCACTTGCAAATAAAGCTGGGAGGGTGCGTTATATGTAGCCAGAGTAGTACTGGAAAATTAACGAGGGCCACACATGTTTTACTACCTCTCTGTATAAGTCGCTTAGATTTTTTTAATCATTTTTTTGGTTTGGTTAAATTTATAGAAAAATGTGATAGCATTTATAACATCAAATTAGTTTTTATTAAATATAACATTGAATATATTTTGATAATATATTTTTTTTTGTTAGAAATATTGCTATTTTTTCATATAAACTTGATCAAACTAAAAAATTAACTAAGGAAATAACAAAACTACTTATTATAATATAAAGCGAACGGAATACTAATTAATTACACAGAAACGGTATATTACTGCGTTAGCTAGCTGCCGCCTTACCGTTCAACACTTTGGACTAGCAGCTGATCGATCAGGCAATCAATCAAGGATACTTAATATATCTACGGTTTTCACATTCTGACGGTGACGCGCTGCAACGAACTGCATGTTCTGATTGACACTTTACGCACCATACTGTCCATATTATCGATATGCATATTCATTAATCATATAATCAACAATTTATAGCATTTAAATTTTATCTCAAATAAAACTACTTCTCTACCTATATTTTCTTCTCAACTTCTATCATTTAAATTTTTCACCTACTTTCTCATCTTAAAAAATCATAACACACTTTTCCATTTAATTCTATTTATTCTATCTTACTGTAAAGTTGATGTCTACTAACTTTTAAAGTTAATTAACATGTAAGTGTGCCACGTCATCACCCACTAGAAATTATTATCTATAGTATTTTAAATATCATGCAAATATATCATATCATTCACAAATTTATTGTATTTTTAGAACTTAATATGCTTGTAATATCAAATTATTATCTCCACATCATTTTTATATTATTTAAACTGATGTATAACATACATCAATCTAAATATCTCGGAGCAAAGCATGGGGTATCGATTAGTTTTCTTAATGTCTGTATCCAGCCTATAACCTTACAATTTTAGAACGGAGAGTGCATGATATCTGTCTAAAGAAAAAAAATTGCTGACCCCAGACATTGAGTTGCTGACGTCATAGGAAATCATCACAGATTACGTGGCAAACGCCTTTGCACCAAAGCAAATGGACTTAGGCTATGTTCTAAACTCTCCTTCCCCAAATAATACCTCCTCGTTTTTACACGCACATTTCCCGAATTAATAAGCGGTGTGTTTTTTTAAAAAAAATATATAGAAAAGTTGCCTTAAAATCATATTAATCTATTTTTAAAAATTTATTTTAGCTATCACTTAATTAATTATAAACTACTTACCGTTCCGTTTTACGTGCTGGGTGAAGGTTTCGAACCCTCACTCCCGAACTAAGCCTTATAATCTTATACTTCATCCGCTTTATATTATAAATCGATTTAACATTTTTCTAGTCAAACTTTATTCAGATTTAATCAAGTTTATAGAAAATTTTAGTAACATCTACAACACCAAACTAGTTCCATTAAATCTAATATTAAATATATTTTAGTAGTATGGTTGTTTTATGTTAAAAAATATATAGCTCGTTTTGTTATTATTTATATATGCCCTTGATAATTAATAGTGCCAGTGGATAAGGGTAGGCAGACGAGAACGATCGAGTCAAAGTCAAGCAAACGAATACTTCTTGGCCATGCTTCTAGTAGATGTAGAACGGAGCAAATAAAAATCCAACCAACAGCTATCTAGAACACTGAAGATGGAGTATATATAATGATGGAAGAATCGATCGTAATCGTACTGAAACTGAGCAGAAAATTAAGAAAATGAACATATAGTTGAGGAAAAAGGATTCATGCAGCAGTAAAGCCAAATTCGTCTCGTGAGACCAGTTTGTTTATCATGCAAGTCCAGTTAATTGCTTTCGTTCTCCTTATCGTTTCATGCAAAAGACGACACCTTGTTGTTTGTTAGATCGGGTAGTAATAAAATCAAGATTCGTTTCACAAGCAGAGCTAGAGACTAATTTACTCATCTATACTTTCTAATTTCTATATAGTTGGTATCCATTAATAATTATTAGAAGTTAAAGCTCAATATGCAAGCATGCCACATCATCACCCACTATTAATTACTATTCTAGCCTATTTAAATTCCATACAAACATAACACATCATCTACAATATTATATTATAGAGCTTAAAAAGTATATGTCAAATCATCTCACATTTTTCTCAACATTTTCTTTCGTCATTTCAACAATATTTAACATATATATTCATCCATGTATCCCGCAGCAAAGTGTGGGATATCACCTAGTTACTGTGATTTGTGTGAACACTTTTTTCGATCGCCACGCAAGTATACATTAGTGGAGTATTGTAACCAGATGCACGTACAGAAAAAAAAAGTAATCCTTACTGCGTCCCATGTGGAAATTAAGTTAATGAAGTGATGAGGAGTAATTAAGTGTTAGAGAGAAACTAATGGGAAAAATATGTGGTGAAAACCACAAATACAGTGGAAACTTGAAAACTACCGTTAGATTCGTGATGACGTGGACAAATCTCAAACGTCTATTTTTATACAACGGTAGTTTTTAAGTTTCTATTATACACGTGATTTCCACCGCATATTTTCCCAAACTAATGTTTGGTCTGATGGCCCATCCAGGTGAGGTTCACATCCTCAACCTTTACGCGGATCCTCTGACTTTGCTATGCAAAGTTACGGGTGTGCAATTCCTTCCTATCAACCGTCCATTCTCATCGGATGGTCACACTCATCGCCTGGAATTTTTCTGTTCTTCCTCTTCTCCCTTCAATGCGCACCTTCGAGGCCGCCATGGCTGTCACTCCTAGCCGCATCTCAATTTTTGCCGCTGCAAAGGTGTAACCATGCTGTTGTTAAAAATACGCTGCAGTTGCTATCTCAGTTAGATTGCCGTTGTAACAAGGAAAATGGCAGCTGACTGATTATTGAAGCTAGTAGAAGTTCTTCCTTTTGCATGATCTCTACTCAAATCACCGAATACTGTGAGCAGCACATTTTGCAACAAGGACATTTTCTATGGATATATGCATTTTCACCTATACTCGACCATCACAACAACAAGTCTCGATGACGCACATCGTATCGTTGGCATATATCATCATCAAACGTGCGCCATCGCCGCTTCGTGGATGAGATAGATTTGCTTGTGATGAACCCCTTTCTGTTTTCTGCTTCGGTGATTACCTATTATGAGACTGAAGCATACGATGGCCGTCGGCCGAGAAACTACAAAGCGAAGGGAGCAAAAGGAAGAAGAAAGGATTGGAGATTATGGACCGTCAGATGAGATGGACGGTGGATAGGACAAACTGCACGTCCGTGACTTTGCCTAGCAAAGTCAGAGGATCCGCATCCAAAAGGCAGGGGATGCGAACCAACGTCTCGCTACTGTGTGGCTGGATTAGGCAAACATAGATGTAGTAGCAGGAATTAATTGAGATTCAAGGAAGTTACTATGTAATACCTCCCATAATAATTACTCCATATTTATTGGATTTAAATTTATCCTACAATAATTATCACAATAGAGCACCAATGGTTCTATTAATCATTTCTTATTTAAATTCCTCACTATTTGACCCTCAACTACGTTCTACACCATTTAATAATGGGCATCATAATCTTTCTTCTGAAACTTTAATATGTACTACCTCCGTTTCAGGTTATAATACTGTCGGTGATATGGGACCGGGAGTATCATGACCAGAGGCTTGAGGCAGACGCAATCGCCCACGTGGCCTGGCACCTTCGGGGACGTCGGGCCCGAGGGTGAGGTGTCCGCCCTCCTCCTGATTTCCCCCGAGGGGGGGGTCGGGTTGCGTTTGCCCCGGCCCCGAGGGCCGAGGCACCCCGACCCCTTAAAGAAGTCTGCGCCACGTATATGGGATAAGTGAGCACAGCTGTGCTCACCTAACAGCATTTATTGCAGTCTGGTCAAGCGTGTCACGCTGCGTGCAACGCGGTACAGCACGCTCTTTTATCCGGTCTGTGACCAGTCACAGACCGGTCAGATCAAGGGTTAGGTGGCGACTGGCGGTCTGACGCACGCCTCGCCCCATCCCGTCAAGACGAAAGCCTCAAGGCAACTCGTCTCAAGCCGGAGCTAGCGTGTTATCTCTTAGAGATGGCACGTTAGCCCTGGTAGATTTATACCAGGCTTCATCCTAACCATTACAGGCAAGGTGTTACACGAAGAAGGGCAAACATGCACGTTGTTAAACTGACGCGTGGTGGACACGAATGACCGGTCTGACACTGGTCGCATCAGCAACGGGCAGCCACGATCTCACGTTGCGCCCGTCTCCGCCGGGGGTGGAGGTAGGTGTGAGCTGTCCCATCGAAGTGTCATTTGGACGACAACCATACCAATCTCCGCCGATTAAAGAAAAAAAAGAAGAACAGTCCAGTTTGGAAAGGGAAGGGTGCATGTGGTATCCCCTTGAAGTATAAAAGGAGGACCTTGCCCATAGAGAAGGGGGGGGTTGATTCTGGCCAGATTTAGAGCCTAGAGCGGGGGAGAAGTGGGCGGACACTTTGTAGCTCATTCATACACAAATCCACAAAAACACAGGAGTAGGGTATTACGCTTCGCGGCGGCCCGAACCTGTATACATCGCCGTGTCTCGTGTGTCTTGCCGGCGAGTAATCTTTCCACATACAGAGAGAGCTTGAGATCTCACCCTAAGCCCCCGGCCGAACCGGCAAAGGGGGGCCTGCGCGGTCTCCCGGTGAGGAGCCACGAGCTCCGTCATCTGGCGCGCCAGGTAGGGGGCTCAGCGTGTGTTTTCTGAGCTCTCAGACTCTTCCGTGCGCCCCAAGTTTTTCTTGTTCAGCCTAATGGCTGAGCAAGGAAAAACGCACGACCTCTCGCCGAGTGTAAGCGGCGACGATGGGGAGCCGAATCCACGCCGTCGAGCTCGTACTCCTCCACCTCCTCCGCGCCAAAGCCCTAAGCAGGGGGAGGCGCTTGAGAGGGTCGACAAATCCGC